AGTTGAAAAGTTGGAGTTTTGTGAATCTTGTGTATTTGGTAAATCCTGTAGGGCGAAGTTTAACAAAGGCAAGCAAAGAACACATGGATCTCTGAATTACATTTATGCTGATCTTTGAGGGCCTGCAAGGAATCCTTCACACTCAGGTGCAAGGTATTTTCTATCCATCGTTGATGACTATTCCAGAAATTTATGGGTATTCATTCAGAAGACGAAGAACGAAACTTTTGAGAATTTCAAAAGTTGGAAGATTCTTGTCGAAACTCAAACTAGCAGAAAGGTTAAGAGGTTGAGAACCGACAATGGCCTTGAATTCTGCAACGAAGCATTCAACATTTACTGCGTTGAGTCTTGGATTGCAAGGCATAAGACTGTAGCAGGTACTCCTCAACAAAATGACTTAGCTGAGAGATCCAATCGAACAATCCTTGAAAGGGTTAGATGCATGTTGGTTAGTGCTGGATTGAAGAAGGTGTTTTGGGCGGAGGATGTTTCGACAACAGCTTACCTGATAAATAGATGTCCCTCGACTGCCTTGGGAATGAAGACACCTGAAAAAGTTTGGTCAGAACATCCACCTAGTCTCGACCGACTGAGAGTATTTGGTTGTGTGGCCTATGCTCATATTAGGCAAGACAAGATCGAACCTAGAGCTCTGAAATGCATGTTCATGGGATACCCTGAAAGAGTTAAAGCTTATAGGATATGGTGCCTAGAGCCAGGTCACAAGAGATGTGTCACAGTCGAGATGTAGTTTTCAATGAAGCAGATATGACTTTTAAGAAAACTAAAGATGCTGATGAAGAGCTGGAAAAGGAGGGATTCCTGTTGAGGTGGAGCATGTCGATGCTAAATTGCATACCCCAGATGAAGTCGAAGAAGACGCAGAAGATGTTGTCGAAGATGGGGATACTAATAATGACTACCTGCTAGCAAGAGACAGGTTGAGGAGAGTCATCAAGCCACCTCGGAGACTTGGGTATGCAGATCTTATAGCTTATGACTTAATCTCTGCAAGTAAGGTTCTAGACGAAGAACCTAGAGACTATAAGGAAGTTATGAGGAGTCAAAAGAAGACTGAATGGATGAAGGCCATAGATGATGAGATGAAATCTCTTCATGATAATAATACCTGGGAACTGACCAAGAAACCTGCTGGAGCCAGGTTAGTCAGCTGTAAATGGATTTTCAAAGTTAAGGAAGGAATTGAAGGAATGGCGTTGAAGAGATACAGGCAAGATTGGTTGCTAGGGAGTTCACTCAAAAAGAAGGTTTCGACTTCAATGATGTGTTCTCTCATGTTGTGAAGCACAAATCTGTTCGAATGTTGCTTGCCACAGCGGTACAGTTCGACCTTGAACTGGAACAAATGGATGTGAAGACTTCGTTCTTGTATGGTGATTTAGATGAAACAATCTTGATGAGGCAACCTGAAGGGTATATCGAAAAAGGGAAGGAAGATTATGTGTACAAGCTGAATAGATCCTTATATAGACTGAAACAATCTCATCGATAGTGGAATAGAAGATTCAACAAGTTCATGGCACGCATAAGTTTCATAAGAAGTCAGTTCGACCATTGTGTTTACTTCAGATTTTGACCGGGTAATTCATTTGTTATTTTGTTGCTCTATGTGGATGATATTCTAATAGCAAGCAACAATGTCGAAGAAGTAATGAGGGTGAAGGTTGAATTTAATAAGGAGTTCGACATGAAGGATTTGGGAGATGCGTCCAAAATTCTTGGGATTGACATCCGAAGAGATAGAAAGCAGCCGAAATTATGCTTATCTCAAGAGGCATACCTACGAAAGGTTCTCGAAAAGTTTGGTATGTCGAATTCAAAGCCTGTTGTGACTCCGACAAACCCTCAATTCAAGTTGAGTATAGATCAATGTCCCAACACTGATGTTGAAAGAACTTATACGGATAGCATTCCATATGCTAATATAGTGGGTTCTTTGATGTATGATATGGTTTGTACTAGACCCTACATATCATATGCAGTAAATCTTGTAAGCAGGTGCATGACAAATCCTGGAAAGGCTCACTGACAAGCATTGAAGTGGATTTTAAGGTACATAAATGGGTCTCTAAATAGAGTCATAATTTATGGTGGAGCCTTAGGTGAAGATAGTAAAGCAGCAATCGAAAGATATGTCGACTCTGATTATGCAGGTTGTATGGATTCCAAAAAATCTATTTATGGATATGTGTTCGCTATGTTTGAGACAACAATCAGTTGGAAAGCTACACTTCAGAAGGTCGTTGCCTTATCAACCACTGAAGCGGAATATATCGCCCTAACTGAAGTTGTGAAGGAAGCATTGTGGCTTGAAGATTTTGCAAAGGAGCTGAAACTTCAAGGTCGAGTTATCACTGTTAAATGTGATAGCCAAAGTGCAATACACCTGTCAAAGAATTGAGCCTATCATGAGCGAACCAAGCACATTGATGTAAGGCTGTATTTCGTCAGAGGGGTAATTGAGCGTGGAGAAGTCCAAGTGCTGAAGGTTTCGACAGATCATAATGCTGCTGATATGATCACCAAGACGTTGCCCAGTTGAAAGTTTTTCCACTGTATGTAGTTGATAAAGTTGCATGAATAAAGGTAGTTCCTTGATGTTATAGAGTTTGTTCCAAGGTGGAGATTTGTGAGATGTTGAATTGAACTCTAGTATGGTCGAAGGGTAGCTTCTGGTTCGACAGAAATTAAGCATGAGGTCAAAGTATGTTTGCATGTTGCTGTCGGAGTAATGCGTGTTGTAGTCGAAGTTTGTTCTAACATGCATTAGTTAATATTGCTAGGTTGTTAGCATATTGGATTGGGTCTTATTTGTAAGCCCAAGTGTTTAAATTAGCTTGTACCCTAAGTTAGCTTGTAATGGGTAATTGTTAAAAAGCCCATTAGGTTAGTGTGTTATTTTTCTTATAAATAGGATGCTAGTTTCTCAATCTTGGTATAAGAAAAAATAGGAAGATAAAATCCTAATTTCAAAAGAGAGAGGTTATTTTGTTATTCTTGTATACATGTAATCTTGTTCTAAGAGAAAGGAAACAATAACAGTATTATAACCAATCTTTGTTTTTCCTTGTTGTTTTATCTTGTATTTTTTGTTAACCCCAACCCTTGTTTGTTTCTTGATTATTAAAAAATCAATTTACTGACATGAAAACGTCTTTACACAATGCAGGGCTTTTATGCCCGCCACCCTGAGTTAGGTGATGATGGTCCTACATTTTCTGTGCAGGTACTAACAAATAACCTTCCAGTGGAAATATTGGAACTTCAAAGCATTTAAATCACAGAAAAAACCATTAGATTTATAAAGAAGTCTAAAATTATAAACATTTCTTTGGTTAATAGGTCTAAAAATTTTTACACTAACATTACATCAAAATAAATCTCATACCTATTTATACTAGATTGAATGAAAAGTTGTGATGTTCTTATTAAAATAAATCTCATACCTATTTATACTATATTGAATGAAAAGTTGTGATAATGTGATGTTCTTATTATAGAGTTCAGTTGAAATTATTTATATATAATGTGTGAATTTATCTTATCTTTCTTTTTTTTTCCACCCAATCTTCATCCGTTGGGCCAAAGATATATTGCATACTAAAAACAATTTAACCAATTTCAGTATATCTCATCTACAATGTTCATGCATACACTACTTTGATGCGATAAGGTTTGGGAAGCGGTGGTTTCACACTTAATGCAAGAAATTTCAAGTGTGAAAGTTATGATAACTTAAAAAGCCATGCTATTTTGATACTGATATGTGTATCGCACTTAATGCAAGAAATTTCAAGGTGAAAATTATGATAACTTAAGTATCGCACTTAATGCAAGAAATTTCAAGGTGAAAATTATGATAACTTAAAGAGCCATGCTATTTTGACACCGATATTTGTACACCATGTATGCTACACCGTAATTTATAATAAAGTAAAACTTTCTTGTGCACAACATTCAATAACAAATACATTGTTTAAAAATGAATTTATGCATTGTATATCATTTCTCTAACTTAAATACTTATTTCAATTGTTTCCACTTCTTTTAAAATGAATGCCTAGATTTTACATTAAAAACAATAAAAAGGGTTTTTGTCTTTGACTTTCATAACAACTTAAAGATCGGCAAAGTGCATCCACTTTGTCTGGTAACAACCTAACTAAACTTAACTAAACCTAGGTTTTTGATGATATCCCCTCCATCACTAAGCATAATGATACCATCTTTGAGAATGAATTATTTGAATATAGGAACAACATTTTGAACTTCTTCTAGAAGTATCAGTTTCAGTTGACACACTCCGACGTGGCAAGTATTCCTCAATGATGATCCTCTACCATCTAAGCAATACTAGTCCTATGACTTTTGAAAAAAAAATGTTGTAGTATTTGTTACGCACACAATGTGTTCCAGAACTGATGGAAATGTGAGGTTTGTCCAGATTGTACCATTTGCTCTGCATGCTATAAGGATAGAGGTGTTGATTGCCATGAACCCAAATCAACTCAAAATGAACACAAATCAACTCAAAATGAATAGAAGTTGCCTTAAAATAAGGCAACACCACAACCAATGACTGTTTAGTCACTATCAACTTCTGCACCTCTATTTTATGATTTCAAACCCATTCCTCTATATTCTAAAAGCTTCTACAGCTGCTGCAAAGTTGGCATAAATACAAACGGTTATGCATAATATAGGGAAAAAAAATAACAGTGTTAAAAGGAATGTGTATATTTATGTATATTTTAGGTAGTGTAGAATTTTAATAGCAACATCATTCTTGGCATGTGCACTAACTTAACTAATAAAAAACCTCGCAAACCAACTTTTTCAGCCAAAACTCTAAATATCAAATGAAAATCTATAAAAAAATAAAGAAAAAAAAAACATGAATTATGAATATCTATCTAGGTAGAAGATAGTTTAGTTACCTTATCTTCTGCCTGACTGATAAATGCTTCAACACAAGCTCACAAGATTTCTCCACAACCATAACAAGACGACAACTTCAACTCAACCAACAGTCCTTCCGCCTATTAATTTCACCACATTGCAAGAAAAACAAAACTCATTGTAATAATTTCAAGACACGATTAAAACTAAAAACTCTTGAGTAAGCACGAAAAACCTCGCAATTTACATCACATTATGAAGAATCAAACATAACCTAATCCAGAAAATGCGCACACACAACAAAGAAAGGAATTACCCTTGCGTAGGCATTGATATCTAAACCACTGTGTAAAAGATCAGTTACATCTTTCTTGAGAAACTTCTCCGTAGCTCTTCTCTTCCTCCTTATCACTTCAATCCGATTCTTGGTTAATTTGAGTAACAGTTTACTGAAAAGCATATAAGCATCAGCATAACTACACTCTGAATTCACTTCATGAGCAAAGGAACAAAAAAAAAAAAATAATGCAATTAAAATGAAGCGACGGAGAACCATTTGGCGGCGAAGGTTTTTCCGATTAGTGCATCCAGCATGGTGGAAAATGTTGAGTGAGTGAGGTATATTTTGAGTGGGAAGGTCAAAATGCGAAGTTCAGCATTGACGTGTGAAGAAGTACTGAGTTGAAGAATGAAGTGGAAGAAGAAGAAGAAAGAAAATGTAATAGTTTTTTTAAAATAAATAAAAATGGAAATTAAGAAAAGGATATTTATTTGTGAAGGTCTAAATTCTTTAGGTAGTGTAGAATTTTAATAGTAACACACCTGCAATGTTTTATTCTACCAAGTCTTTACAGTCCATGAAGTGAGAAGTTAGTATAATCCATATCATTTTACAATGCTTGCATCCCCGTCAACGAGTTTTGTAACTTTTGGCATGACTGATCAACTTCTTGAATTGACAACATGATGTATTAGAGCTAGCACTAGTTGCCAGACATTTAAATGCATGCTTCAAAGTTCTCTAGTTTCAACATCTATGTGTGTAAGTTAGAAAGTATAATCACCCATCCATAACAAACAAGTAATGAAAAAAGATAAATTTTGAAAATTGATTTCATACCGTTTTCCCATGTGACTCGTGATTCCGAAGTTGAGATACATTCTTCAAATTTTTTTTCCTATTTCAGCATTTTCAGCATCTGCGTGTGTATGAATCGGAAAATATAATCAACAATCTAGAACAAACAAGTATTAAAAACAAAAAATTCAAAGAGTTAAGCTCATACCATTTTCCCATTAGACTCTTGATTCCCGGATTGTGATGTGGAATTATTTTCAACCAACTTGTGTTCATTTTGAGTTGATTTGTGTTCATTTTGAGTTGATTTGTGTTCATGGCAATCAACACCTCTATCCTTATAGCATGCAGAGCAAATGGTACAATCTGGACAAACCTCACATTTCCACCACTTCTGGAACACATTGTGTGCGTAACAAATCCTACAACATTTTTCAAAAGTCATAGGACTAGGATTGCTTAGATGGTAGAGGATCATCATTGAGGAATACTTGGCACGTCGGAGTGTGTCAACTGAAACTGATACTTCTGGTAGAAGCTCAAAATGTTGTTCCTATATTCAAATAATTCATTCTCAAGGATGGTATTATTATGCTTAGTGTTGGAGGGGATATCATCAACGGCCTAAAAACCACACATAAATTAAAACTTTGCATGAATTTACTAATGAGGACAAAATCATATTGAAGCTTTAGGTTTATTTAGGTTGTTACCTGACAAAGTGGATGCACTTCGTCCGTCGTTCTTTAAGGTGTGCTCATTCAAACTATGACATCTGTGATATATTGATATGAAAATCAGAAATTCCCTTTTTATTGTATTCATTTTAAAAGGGAAAACAATAGAAATATGTATTTAAGTTATCATACCTTTCACACTCCTGAAATTTGTGCATGCATGAATATTGTAAATGAGCTATAATGAAATTTTTCCTGGTATGTGCAATATATCTTGGCCGAACTGATGAAAATTTGGTGGAAAAAAAAAAGAAGATTAGATAAGATTACACATATTATATAAATAACTTCAACTGAATTGTATAATAAGAACATTGCAACATTTCATTCATCTAGCATAATAGGATATAAGATTAATTTTGATGTAATGTTAGTGTAAAAGATTTTAGACTACTAACCAATCAAAATCAATCCTTTATATGACTTTTAAGTTAGATATGATCAAAGTCAAATGTCTTTAGAATTTCAACAATTGTGATTGATTAATAGAGTAAGAAATTTAAACACTCTCAATTAAATCTAAAGAAAATATCACACATAATAATATTGTACAGTTTATCTTAATGTAGAATACCAAAAAATAAAATCAAAGGATGAAATCAAAAGAGAATAGAAACATACTTTTGAATCACTAGAATGTCTTTAGCAGTGTCTTTCGAAGGATTGACATGTTCCATAGTCTTCAAAACTCTACTTGACACTTGTTACTTCAACATATTTTCATTGTCTCCTCCACTCTCTATTTCAATGGTCCTCGCTTTTTCAATAGTTGAACCACACTACAACTCTCCATCAAAGTATGGAAAACGTGAAATTGTCACTTTTGAACCCCTTTTTCAGTAGGAACAAAGAAATGATCACGTATGTTGGTTAAACCAACAACAATTTTTTCTTTCATAACCTTAATTTAGCATTGAAAAACCTGCATAAACAAACAATATAAATATTCTATAGTAACATTCGAAAACAAAGATGATAAAAAAGGAAAATAGTACTTTAAATTTCTCATAAGAACTCAACACATACTTATAAGACGAAAGAAAGACTAACCAAGAGCGTAGCTTATCATTATTTGGAGTCTTTTGCTCTTTCTGATGACAATATAGTATATACTCATCCCTTTTTGAAGGAGGACATGCCCATGCGTAGCAAGTTGAGAAACCCTTTTTCTTACAAAAATTAGGTATCCAATCTGATGATATAGAAATAAAGGACAAATAGTAAAAATGGAAGGATGTATGATTCAACTTTAAAAGTTTTATTGGCCTAGAAGTAAAGTTTAAAAGAAAAATACCAATATCTAATGGTAAACGAAAGTATAAAGTGCTCCTCCGATTTCCACCGTTACTCTTTCAGACCTAAAATATTTGACAGAATCAAGATATGAAATGTACACACAACACTGATTCGGATTGCCACATTCAGAGCCAAACTCCTAGACGTACAGTCCAAAAATGCATATATCTGCTCCATCAATCTTCTGAAATAAAAGTATAAACTGAAACCAATGGAACTTTTATTAAATCTCTTAGACGTATATTTATTTCTTCATTAATAAATTACTAAACTTACTCTTGATCTATAAGAGAATTCAGCCAGATAATTCTTTTCTGGTATGATGTCAAGAAGCTGCTTCTTCACTTTCAATTGTTTGTCGTTGACAATTCCATGTATCTTGTGATTCTAAACAAAACTTCTATGCAGGAAAATGTTTGGAAAATCCATAAGTCTTTTTTTTTTCTTTTGGTAGGTTGTAGAATGTCGGTATCACCTAAAACAGAAACACAATGTCAATAATATAGTTGCAAGACAAAATCAATATTGAACAAAAAAAGGATTGAAACTTGGAAAAAAATCTCAACCTAATATAAACATACAATTATTTGTGTGTTGATGAGGAAAATAGTTGCTAATGCATTTGGTGTTAGCATTCAGATAGCTTCCACCACCATAAATATATTGATTAGCTGTCATAAAGAAAACAAGGCAGGTCATGAACAGTAGAAGGGCTAGATTCCAACAGTTGTATTCCATTTTTTCACTAAGCTACAAAATGAATTGAGAAAAATCTCAATACAGCTTGCACACGGCGAGTCAATTTCTCCATGTTCATATATTCCTCCTGCCAAACATGAAAACTTGCATTTCATACTCTTTTTCTTTAATTAACTAAATATATTAAATACACTCGCATCCGAGCGGTATCATAATAAGAAATTACAACAGAAATTGCAACAGAATATAGACAAGTTCCTAGAAACTTGCACTCAATGTCAAAACAGAAAAGGTTGATCTAATTGCCTGTTTACGTGTGTGACGAGTTAGATCGAACTACCTATCATGCTAAGCATAATTCAAGACATTATAAGATGAACTATCTATATCTATAAAATGGGCGTTGTGTTCCATTTGATGTCATATATCTTAAAATTGAGAAGTGAAAACAACTTACTGCTTAAAATTAAAGTTGAAAATTAAATTACTTTCACTTACAAATATACATAACAGGATGATCACACAGTCTGTGTAGAATCCAACAGTTGTATTCCATTTTTTCGCTAAGCTACAAAATTAATTGGAAAAAATTAATTATTCCTATAATCAAAAGATAGAACAGAATATACAATTTGAGCTGAATCATTATCACTATAAACGAAAACTAAAATCTCACCATAAAATTGATAAATCGCTTTTTATTCACCGGCTCTTTGCCGAGTGAAGCTAGGTGATGAAAAAATGGAAACGCGCGTTTAAAAATTCACTGCTGAACCAAACAAACAAATGCGTTTGACAATTCACGGCTAACTCTTGACTCTGTAATGGAAGAAAATAGGGTTAGGGTTTTGAATTTGGGAATAAATAGAGAAAATAGTGTTTTCGTTTCTGATTTGCTGTTGTGTGGGTAAACCGTGTGAATAATTATGGAAACCAAGAAAATAAACAATTATTATCTGCTATTTGTTTTTAAATAAATATCAATAATATCTTTTATTAAATTATATTTTTTATTTAGAATAAAAATTCTAAAATATTATTTTGTTCACTAATTTAAGTTTATGAAAAATGCTAACCGTGTCCGTAGCACTAACTAAGAGATTAAAAAAGAAAATTGAACATTTTAAAAAAAATTAAAAATAAATATTTTTAAAAAAAATATGTGTTTAATGCACTGAAAATAAAAAATAATTAATTTTTTTAAAAGAATATTACGTATATCTAGGGGTGACAAAATGGATGGATTGGATGAATATGGATTGGATTGCTAATGGATGGATTAAAACAATCCATTATTCCATTAAAATCCACTAAAATTTTATTAAAATTATCCAATCCGATCCATCCATTAAGAATAAAATCCATCCAATCCATCCATTAACATATTTTTAATGGATGGATATCCATCCATCCAACTTTTTTTTTAATTTCGTAAAAATAAATATATTTTTTTTCAAAAACAAATTAGTTTTTTATTCTGAAAAAAAAAACGATTTTTTTTCCAAAAAAAAAATTGATTTTTTTTCGAAAAACAAATTATTTTTTATTCTGAAAAAAAAAACCGATTTTTTAGAAAAAAAAATTGATTTTTTTTCCAAAAAAAAAGTCGGCTTTTTTTCGAATTTTTTTTTTTCGAAAAACAAATTATTTTTTATTCTGAAAAAAAAACCGATTTTTCAGAAAAAAAAATTGATTTTTTTTCCAAAAAAAAAGTCTGTTTTTTTTTCGAATTTTTTTTTTCGAAAAACAAAATCAGTTTTTTATTCTGAAAAAAAAACCCGATTTTTTTCAGAAAAAAAAAGTCGGTTTTTTTTTTCGAAAAACAAATCAGTTTTTTATTCTGAAAAAAAACTGATTTTTTCCAAAAAAAAAGTCGGCTTTTTTTTCGAGAAAAAAATTTATTTTTTTTTCGAAAAACAAATCAGTTTTTTATTCTGAAAAAAAAACTGATTTTTTTTCCAAAAAAAAAAGTCGGTTTTTTTTTTTTCGAAAAACAAATCAGTTTTTTGTTCTGAAAAAAAAAACAGATTTTTTTTCAAAAATATTAAAAAAAAATTTCAGAAAAAAAAATATAGTTTTTTAATTATTTAAAAAAAAATAAATCTAACGAAAATAAAAATAATCCATTGGATCCTTAAAATATGTTGGATGGATTGAATCAATCCATGCATATAAATGGATGGATTGAATCCATCCATGCATATAAATGGATGGATTTAATCCAATCCATTAACTTATTTTTTGTGTGGTGGATGGATTGGATGGATTTTTTGATGGATGGATTAGATGGATTTTGCCTTAATGGATTTAATTGCCACCTCTACGTATATCCAATATATTTTTTACAAATTTATATATATTATTATAAAATAAATTAAAGTAACAAAAATAGATATAACCAATTCAATAAAATGTTAAATTAAATATTAAAATAAAATTTATCTATCTCAAAAAATTTATGACCAATAAAATAAAAATAACTTATGACGTAAATATTCTTTATATATTTTTCAATATATAGTCTACATAATTTATGTCTTTGTGGTAAGTAGATTAACATATCTACTATTTTTAAAATATTAAATTTAAATTTAAAAATGAGATTATAATTTATAGATCAAACCTAAACTTTAATTATTTTTAGCAACTCAAATTCAATTCCATTTTTTAAAAAAAAATAAAGGTACCGGGAGAAATATATATAAAAAAATCAAAGGAGTTAAAAAAAAAAGGGGGAATAAAGAACTGA